TTCTATTCTATTCTATTCTATTCTATTCTATTCTATTCTATTCTATTGATCTGTTTTGGCAATGCCCAATCCAGAGATTCCGGCTGGGTCAGAGCATGATCAATGGAATAAAAACATGTAATAAAAAAATAACCATACAACCAGAGACCTAGACTAGAAAAGAAAGAAAATAACCAGAGGAAAGTGAATTGAGCAGACCATGCAGAACATAGGCCACCAACATCTGGAAGTTGCTCCAGCCACCTTAGCCCAGGCCTGATAGAACAGCCAGCTGTTCAGCCCTCCAGGGCACCAGCAGCCACCTGGATCTTAGGGGCGAACCGCATTCCAAAGGGAAGGTGCCATGACCAAGAAAGCCTGCTTCCAGGTCATGACTGACGGCACTGTTTAACCAAAGGAGCCCAGGGGACATTGCCTGGTCAGCATGAGTAGTCAACACCCGGGACTTATGCCATGTAAGACTTTAACCAGGAGCCCTACCTGGAAACCAACTGGCAAACCGTGCAAGTCCCAAAGCAAAAGAGTGTCCATCAATGCTTGTGGCACTGCATTCTGCACCAACTGAAGTTCTCAAGTGGCCTTCAAGGACAGCGCCATATAGAGTGCATGGCAATAGTCAAGCTGTGAGGCAACCAGGACCTCCTGATCTAAGAGAGGGTACAACTGGCCCACCAGACAAGCTGCACACAGGCCTTCCTGGCCATAGCTGCCACCTGCTTATTGAGCAGGAAGACCCCAAGGTTGCTCATCGCTACTCAGTTGGGAAATGCAACCCTTTCCAAGGTTAAAGATAAGAGGTGTTAGATCTAAGTGGCCTTAATATCTATGGCCACTGGGTCTTTGGGAAGATTGAGTCCTCCCCATCAAACCCCGCACAACTTCTAGGCACTGGAATAAAACCTAAATAAAATTAACTGATGCTGTCATCTCCGGCCAATGAGAAGATTTGCATTTTTAGAATTATTTGGAATAAGAGGCAGCATTGGCATATCCTTAGCTTTTGTGCCTTGGACCAGTGCCTACCAACTTAGCCTAAAGCTGAATCTGCCATACAGGACCTCACCCACTGGTTCCATGTAGATGTTGGAACAAAGAGAAAGAGGAGATAGAATGTTATGATATCACCTCAAAGGTGGAACCTAGGGAGAGAATGGAATTGACCCCAAAGTAGGAGAACTACTGTAAAATGGTGCCACCAGCTCCCAGTCCCCAGAGTCAATCCAGAAGGATATCATGGTAGATGGCATCAAAAGCCACAGAGAGATCAAGGAGGACAAGCATGGATGTGCAATCTCCAAGCCAGATTCATCACAGATATGACAAGGCTGTCTGTACACTGAGTTCTAGTCTTAAATGGTACTAGATAATCCAGATCCTGCAGAATTCTCAGGAATTCTGCAGACTTACCTTTTCAACAACATGGTAGTTATCCAAAAGTAGGAGGTGCAGTACCATCTCCTTCAAGGCTGAGCACACCATTTCCAAAGAGATCACCATCAAAGCATGGACTCAACTATAACTCACCTCCCTGGCTGCCTTAACTAAACAGTAGGGCCTGGCTTTAACAAACAGGTGGTCAAACTAAGAGCCGTGAAAACCCTGACTATGTACTTCTTCAAGCATGACCAGCTTATCCCAGACTACATCCCAAGATGGCGCCTGGGACAGACCGAATCTATATAAACACTCTCTCCCTCCCTCCCTCTCTCTCTTACACCCCCCTGCAAAACAACTATTAAGTTATACATTGATTTTATTTTTCTACTTCATACATTCCTTCATTCATTTTTACCTCACTTATATTACTTTTACAAATAACTCAAAGCAGCAAACATATCCAACATATTTTCTCTTCCTTTTCCCCTCCTTACTAGAGAAATGGGAATAATGTATCATTTTTTAAGTATATCAAATAAAACCCTTTAATTCTAATAATTTAATTTTTATATAGTTTTTCAAATATTTTAACATTTTATTATACACCAATAAAACACCAGAATCCATATTTGAAAGAGATGGGTGGCTCAGAAATGTGAAAAATTGATTGATTGATTGATTGATTGATTGAATGAATGAATGAATGAATGAATTGTTAAAAGTCTATTGCAGGGTGAAAGTAAATTAATGGAATTTGACAGCAGTATGTGAAGAATTTCTAACTTAAAACACTTGTGAATTACAGAGAGAAAAAAAGCCAGCAGTTTGAGGTTCTTGGCTGCCTGTTTTTGTTCAGCCAGCGTGGAAGATACATCAAGAGAAACTGGTTTGGAAGAGCATCTTAAAACCAGAGGACACTCTGACAGTTGAAAATGCAAAGGAAGGCAAGTCAAAGGGCACAGTGAAAAAGTGAGACTAATTAAATATAAAGAAGAGAAAACTAACAACAACAAGTATGGCAACCAGAATTGACCATGAAGATATTGAAGTGGTTTATAGCTTCTGCCTCTTAGGATTGACTATCATCAGCAAAGGAACCAGCGGCCAAAACTCTCTCTGTGGATTAGTGTTTGGTAGAACGGACACGAAGGCTTTGGAAAAGGTATTCAAAGGTGGCAATGCTACGAAGGTCAGAACTGTGGCGGCTGAGACGCTCTAGAGAAGCGAAAGATGGACTTTAAAGATAGAGGATAGGAGGAGAATTGATTCAATTGAATTGGTGGAAATTCCATTTGATGGAAAAGTCTCCTGAGAATATTGTGGACAGTCAAGAAAGAAAGAAATGGATCATCAAACAAAACAACTCAGGGTTGTCACTCAAGGGACAAATGACCAGGCTCAAATTATCCTATTTAGGCCACATGGTCAGCTCTCTGGAAAAAGCTGCAATGCTGGGAAAGAGGAGAAGACGATGGCCGGGTGGCAGGGCGGATGGGCTCAGTTACGGGGGCCACAGGGGCACCATTCGGAGATGTGAAAGGCCAAGTTGGGGTCAGATCCTCCTGGAGAAAATATCTACCTGTGGGGTCAACTAAGAGAGTAGGCAAGACTGACTCAATGGCAGTCAATCGACCGATCTTTTTTCAGACTTCCATATAAGCCTGAAAAAACCCCTGCTGCTTTAAGGATAGCAGTGGAGTTACTCTGCCAAATCCTTCCGGAAGCCTCCACAGCCTCTTAAAGGCAGCCTCTGGCTCTAAGCAACCACTCTGCAGACCAGACGGAGAGGCCTTGGGGCCCACGGGATGAATCTGGGAGAGGCTGCCCTGCAGTCTCCCCCCCCCCCCCCGCATCCCTCTTCCGCTAACTTCCATTTTCTTGGCCTTGCAATTGAGAAGTGGATTTCTTTTTGGCTGACATCTCTTTTCAGAGAAACTCAAGTTTGTACCCTGGCTCTCCCTGGGCAGAGGGTCAGCCTGGCCACTCACATCTTCTGCTCCTCTTGAATACAGCAGTAGACGTCGGAAGGCCAAAGGCGGCCAACGGAGTCCTGGGGGTCTCCTAGAGGGGCCATTGCTGCCCATCAGCATTCACTGTAATGCCACCCGGACACCACTCTACCCCAAACAGAGCCCAACACGGAAGCCGAGGAGAAAGACCCCCCTCCTCCCAGCCTCTCCCCAGGGCCCAGCATTACCGTTTGCCTTCTACTCAGGCGGCCATGTCTTCCAGTGAGCTCACATAACTTCCCCGACTTCACCTCTGAAGTCAGTGAGTCATTGCTAGACACCAGAGCTGCCTGCCCCACAGTTACTGTACCGGAAAAGGAAGTGGTGACTGGGGAGGGGAGCAAAGTGTCCAAGCCAGCTCACCTTGCAAGGCACACGTGGCCTCTTCAAATACCAGCTGGCACCCCAGGATTGCTCAGATCATCCACTGCCCGTCCTCAGCTAAACAGCACTGGGCTCACTTGGAAAGTGGAGTCCCTGGGATGCCAGCTGCGGAGGAAAGGTGGCCACACTCAGGTGCCTTTGTGTGGAGGCATTGTCCTGTTCTGTGCTACTTACAGACACCCCCCCCCCCTGCAACTAACGTCTCTCTGTGGCTGGCACAGAACTGGCCAGAAGTGGCCTCTGTGTCAGTGGTCACCAACCAGTGGGCTGGGGACCACTGGTGGTCTGCAAGAAAATGTTGGTGGTCTGCAGAGAAATGTCACCCCCAAAGCACCCCCCAAAGCAATTAATGAAGGCTGTGTGGGAACACCAGGCTGCACTGCCCAAAGCAATTAATGAAGGCTGCGGGAACACAAGGCTTGTGTCGCTTGCATTGTGAACAACATGAGGGGAGGGGGGAAAGGGTGAAGGGGGGGAACTTGCCCCACTTGCCCCACACACCTGGCCTGGTCACCGGGCTGCTTCTTTCCGCTTCTTTCTTCTCCTGCTTTTGGCTGCACGCAAGGAAAGCAGCAAAAGTCTTTCTTTCTCTCCCCCAAACTCCACCAGAAACGAGTCTTTGGGACCCTGCAAGGCCTCCTGCTCCAAGAGGCTGCGCCAGCAAAGACTCATTCCTGGTGGAGTTTGGGGGAGAGAAAGAAAGACTTCTGCTGCTTCTGCTGCTTTCCTTGCATGAAGCCAAAAGTCTCTGTCTCTGTCTCTCTCCCTCTCCCCCCCTCTGCCGAGAACGGAGCTGGAGATGGTATCTAGCGATCCCAAATCAAGAATGATTGACCAGTAGGAAAACGGGGTGGGGATTTTCCTGCAGACTTCTTTTGGGATTTTCCCAGGGTCTCTGCTGCTTTCTACAGAGACCCTTGGAAAACGTCAGCAAGCCACCGCCAGTCAAAATTCATATTAATGGTCTGCGGGATTTAAAATTATGAGTTTGGTGGTCCCTGAGGTCCAAAAGGTTGGTGACCCCTGCTCTACATAGCCATCAACCATAGGTCAAGAGCCCAACAGGGGCAACAGGTTGCCTTTCCTATCTAGATTCGCAACATTTATCAGAGGGTCATGAGTGATCTAAAGCAACAAATTAAAAGCAGGATTGGATCACTATTCTTGCTCGGTGTTTGTTTTAGCCAGCAAGGTCTTATTCTGCATTATTCTTTCAGAGGGTGAGTTGGTATTATTGCCTTCTCTCCAGGTAGCAGGAAACTGAATGCAGCCCTAAACGTTCAGCCTGCTGGGAAGCCACCATAGTGTAGCTCTCTCCAACCGCAGCTGGGAAGACCCGGGGCTGCAAAGCTGTGGCTGGAAAGGTCACGGTTGCCCTGGGAGTTTTCTCAGAAGCAGCTGGGGATTTCCGCCTCTGCCGGGGATTCAGCGCTTGCAGCCAACACACGGCGGGACCTGGCATGGAGCACAGAAGGGGAGTTGGGGTTGACCACGGGCTTATCTAGGAGACTAAAAGAATCACAGACGAGGCGGGTTTGAATGGACGTTTTGCTGGCCATGTGGGATCAGGCCCTAGGAGGTGCAGCACAGGTTGTGCAGCCTACACTAATTCCAGGCAATGTTGCTCGCAGTGGCTGTGGCTTCTAGCCCACGCTTATTTTTAGTTTATTGGTCAATTATTAAAACATATATGCCACCCATCTCACTATGCAAAATGACTCTGGGTGGCTTGCACCACAGTGCAAGTACAGAGATAAAAACATTAAAATTAACAGGAATTAGTTAAAGCTAGGAAAGAAGCAGACAAGCGGTAGGTAGGAAGGCTTGTCTTCTTTTCCCCAAAGGCTGGTTTAGTTGCCTGCACCCACACGGGGCCATCGCTGCCTACCTACGCCACAAAAGGGTGGATGAGTAAGCAGAGCTGCAGATGGCCGCAGGCAGGTGGAGGTAAACCCTTCCCAAATCCCTATTGTGCAAAGGTGTGCCTCCTGCCTGCTGATTGGCTGGCCTGACTTCCTGTTCGGCGCTTTGGTGTTTGAAGGCACCCTAGTTAGAATGCTACATTTGCAGAAATATAAACAGAGCACACAGAATCACAGAATCAGAGAGTTGGAAGGGACCCTGGAGGTCTTCTAGTCCAATACCCTGCTCAAGCAGGAAACCCTACCATATCCCATTTCCAACAAGGGGCTGTCCAATCTGTTCTTTAAAACCTTCAGAGTTGGAGCACTGTTTTATACCAGTACATTTGTTTTTTTCTTGTCTAAACCTTACTTTACGCCAGAGGTGGGATTCAGCCGGTTCTGACCAGTTCTGGAGAACCGGTAGCGGAAATTTGGAGTGGTTCAGAGAACCGGCCAATCCCACCTCTGACTGGCCCTGCCAACCCCATCTCTTCTCTGCCTCCCATTGAGTTCCAGCTGATCGGCTGGGTCTCCTTTGGTTGCCCTACCCAGGAGAACAGAGCTGGAAAGCAGGTTAGTGGGGTGGGGAGGGAATGGGGATTGTGCAGTATCCTTCCCCTGCCATGCCCACCAAGCCACGCCCACCAAGCCACACCCACAGAACCAGTACTAACTTTTTTTGAATCCCACCACTGCTTTACGCACCTCTGAATTATATCTTGTTGGAGAGAACCTGATATTGTGTTTGTTAAGATTCTTCTGGATCTTGAGCCTACCTTCTGAGGAGCTGGCTATTCCTGCCAGCTTGGTGTCATCTCCAAATTTGATGCGTTCCACCTTCCATCCCCTCATCTAGATATTGATGAGCGCTGGGCCCACCTTTGCTACTGTCCCCCAATGGCAGATGCAGACACTTCCTGACGGAGTCTTTCCCAGCCACCTCCAGCATGAAACGCCCCTGCTGGGACCAATTGGAAGCCTGATTGTGAGGCTCTCCTGGAAGGCCAAGTGTCAGGGCTCCAGTCGTTACCTCCATTTAAATCATGAGTCTCTAGCTGGATTTTCAAAGCTTAAAGATGATTTATTAGGAGTAAAGATGAGTTGACACCAAGCAGGTGTGGGCAGATCTCACTCTGGCAGCCAGACGCTCCAAAGTGGGGGCAGGGTAGGAAAGGCCCTCCCCCCAGAGCCCGTCAGCTAGGATTCCTTGGCCGATGGGGTCCATCGCATGGGCTCTCCTGCAAGAGCGAATGGAGCAGACCAACCTCCCTGAGGCAAGATGGTTCTTTAGCCAGCCTGGTCCCAACGATATCCCTGGGTCATATTACAGTACAGAAGGCAGGAGAAGCAGCAACCGATGGAAACTGATCAAGGAGAGAAGCAACCTGGGGCTTAGGAGAAACTTCCTGACAGGGAGGACGATTGACCAGTGGAACCGCTTCCTTGCCTCCAGAAGTTGTGGCTCCTTCATCATCACTGGAGGCTTTCAAGAAGAGATGAGAGAACCATCTGTCTGAAACGGTATCGGGTCTCCGGGTTGAGCAGGGGTTTGGACTAGAACAGGGGTCTCCCACCTTAGCAACTTTAAGACTTGTGGACTTCAGCTCCCAGAATTCCTTAGCCAGAAAAGCAAAGCTGGCTGAGGAATTCTGGGAGTTGAAGTCCACAAGTCTCAAAGTTACTAAGGTGGGAGACCCCTGGACTAGAAGACTTCCAAAGTCCCTTCCAGCTCTCTTCTGATTGAAATCCCTCTACCAAATTACCTGGTTTTGACCTGCCTTGTTCCGTCTGGACAAAATGGAACAGAATAAAGTGCTTTACCGGAAGAGGTGCCTTTGCCCCGGATCAGCGGGGGTGGAAACATTCCCCCTCGTTGCAACTGTGGGCTGCTATGCAAACTGTTAAACATATTGGGCAAGATTGCCTATGCCGTGCATTCTCCGCTTCCCTAGAAGATCTGCACAAAGCAACGCCAGAGGCCATCGCCTGGACAGCTGAATTGGACATCCAGATAGATATGCTGCCATCGCTGTGCGCCTGTCAGCTTTGGAAGCCCTATTCCACGCTGCCACATAGCCTGAGAAAGTGGGAGGGGGGTGATTTCAATGAAGTAGCTCTAAGTAGACTAAATAAAATTCTTTTGTTAGTTCAAGGTCCATTAAGTATGACGCAGGATGAAATAAGGATCTTACTTTTGGACGGATCGTGATTGGGCCATGTGATGTGATGACAACCAAGGGGAGATGGGTTTGTAGTTTGGGAAATTGTGGAAAGCCTGAAAACGTTTAGATTCGGGAATCCACAGATGTGCCAGGTGCTGTTCTAATAAAGGTACTTTTGAGATATGTTGGCCCACCAAGTGTTCCTGTTCCTCAAGCACCTCAGGCGGCAAAACAGCTTCGCCTACTAGAGCTGTCCTGCAGGGGCCACATCAGCCTTTCTCATGACCCCCCACCCGCCCAATATGTTGGGAATTCCCAAAGAGGTGGGCCAAGTTGTGCATGGGGGGGGGGGGCGCACGAGCCACGCATTTCAACCATGGGTGAAGTCAGAAAAAGGTACACAGGCCCAACTTGTACAATGTCAGGGTTATAAAAGGGTTTGTTTATTTAGTTATTTATTAAAATTATGCCACCCATCTCGCTATCCAGAGACTCTGGGCCGCTCGCAATGAAATACAATCCTACAAAGGCCTTAATGAGAAATAGGAAAAGGCTGGCAACCAAGATCAGGGGCCTTCTCCCCACCCCACTGGGGCCTCAAGTTAAGCAGCAGAGCCAGGGAGGACAGGCGGATGGGGATGGATCCCACCTCGAGAGGTACCATGGTCCGGAGGGGGGGGGGAGCATGGCAGAAAAGGCCCTTTTCCTAGACCCCCCCCCCCCGGCTGAAGCTCCTTCACCAATGGGGTCTGCGGCAAGCCCCGTCTGCCGGAGTGAGTGGAGCAGGCTAATCCCACTGGGACGAGGTGGTTCCTTTCATCACCTGGTCCCATAAAGGGCTTTAAAGATGAAAGCCAACACCTTGAATTGGACCTGGAAGCAAACTGGGAAGTAGTGCAGGCAGGACTGGGGTTGTAATGGGAGTGTGTGCGTGGGCATGCATAGTTAAGTCTGGAAGACTTGTAAAGGCCTCATGGCTCTGCAGCGCATGTGTGTTTGTGTGGCTTCTCTGGCCCCCGGACAGCCTGTCTCCTCTCCTTTAGGGTGAAGCTCTGACCTGCACTGTGCTCCTCACCCCAAGCATAGCAGCTCTGAAAAGCTCCAGAGCTCCTTCCCCCTCCCTTCAGGAGGACCCTGGCTCCCACTCCTCCTCCCTTCCTAGCTGCAACCGGTGGCTCTCCAGCTGCCGGAAGAGTAAGGAAGGCCAGCTGGAGGGATGGAGGTCTTGGAGGTTCAACTCCCAGCCAGAGTGGGGATGGGGAGCCAGGGGGAGGCAAGGGGCCCAGGGCGTCAGCCAGGCCCCCTTCTGTAGCCACGGCTCTAGGAAGACCTGAAACTGGAAAGGGGCACAAGCTCGGGCAGATGCAGCCTGCAAAGGCTGCTTGACCCACCACCCATATTCCCTGCTGACTGTCCAGAGAGCTGCCAATTGTGAAGTGGGGAAATGGGATTTTCAGCAGTGGGCTTCATCTGCTTCTACCTGAAAAGGTGCAACGTCTATTTCTCTCCGGGTTTAAGCACAATCCCCCTTTGTGCTCAATGAGTTCCCTGCCCCCGAGAAGGCTCTCTTCGATGCCCGGAGGAAAGGCTTCTAGACAGGCTCCACGGAGAACTCCGGGGAGGCGAGGCTGCTCTGGAGGGCACAGCTGAAGGCCCGGTAGCCAGAGAAGAAAGTGGCCTTGGGCCCGGGCAAGCTCTCAGGCCCTCCAGAGGCCCGCAGAGCAGAAGCTCCCAAGGCCCCTCCTGGCTGGGGAGGGAAAAGCCACGTTTCTGGGGCAGTGGCTCCGTAAAGGGAGAAGGCGTCTTGACCAATTGGGAAGCCTCCAGAAGTGTCCGGCAGCAGCAGAAGACCCGGCCCGGGGCTGCCCCAGGCCTGCTGGCTTTGGCCTTCTTGGGCAAGGCCAGGCCACTGACTCCAGGCCGGGCAGAAGCCGCTCGCCGGCTGAGCCTCCAGGCTGCTGAAGGACTTGTAGCCCAGAGCCAAGCGGGCGGCAGGGAGGGCAGTGCAGGAGGGATCGGCCGGCAAGCTCTCCAGCCCAGGCAGCCAGTCGGCTTGTCCTTCAGGGGCGTACAGGCCTGGCCCGGATGAAGGCAGCTCCAGCCCACAGCCCTCGGCCTCCACTCGGCAGCCTTGATAAGCCGGCTGGGAGAGGCCCTGCAGGCAGACGGGCTCCTCTGGAGTAAAGCAACTTTGGGTGGAGGTTGCCAGGCCCCCCGGATCCCCTGTGCTCAGGACGCCACCCACAAGGTCCCTGAAGAGGCCGGCCACAGCGTCTTCGTGCTCCATCTGCATCTCCACGGGCTCCGTCTCTTCCTCTGCCTCTTCCGGGCTTCCTGCTTTGACCCCTCCGGCCCTGCTGCCTGCTGCGGTTAGGGAGCCTTGGCTCAGGAAGACTTCTTCGGGGACCAGGAAGGGCTCCCGGGTCACACACGGAGGCTGGGGAGGGAGACCGGCAGCCCCTTTGCTCGGAAACGGCCTGCAGTGGGGATGTCAGGAAGGAAAGGCCCGCGGAGGGTCAGCCTGCTGCCACAAGGCCCCTTGGCCTCCCCACCCCCCAGCCTCTCCCTGGGCTTCCGTGATGCAGCCAGGGACAGCGTCAGAGCAGCCGATCCGGCCCTGGCCTTCCCTGGAGGCAAGGCCAGCTGCCCGCTCTACCTACCGTCTGCAAGGAGCCGGGTCCATCTTGCCGAAAACCCAAAGCTGAAAGAAGCAGGAAGATGCTTGAGGGGGCTTGCATGGAAGGTGTCCTGCCCCCCTGGGGAGGCCTACCCATTTCCCCGCTGTGATATCCTCTGCCAGTTTGCTCTTGCGGGGACTTGGGATCCCATCCCACCATTTCCTCTTCACCCTGCAAAGCAAGAGAAGAAGTCGCTTCATTATCTGAAGAAAGGCAGGGAAACTGCAGCAGGACAGACGCCCCCCCCCCCCCCCCCCCGGGCTGGATGCCCCAAACGCCTTAAGGCCCCACGCAAGGGGTTCGTATTAGGTGCCACTGGAATGGGCACAATATTGCCTGCTTCCCCTCCTCTCCTTCAGGCGGACCCCAATCGGGGGTGGGGGGTGGGGGGAGGAAATTGAGGCTAAGAACTTGGGGAAATTCCTCAGGGCCGGATCTTCTCCACGTCTGGTCAACATCTACAGGAGGCCACTGAATGAGGCCAGCCTGGGGTCAGTTGATGCCCAACTGTGTCTCTTGGTTGACCAGGGAAGCTTTTGAAATTGTATCTTGATGGCTTTGGATGGGGAGGAGCAGGTGCAGGTTCATTCCTAACCAAACTGAATGAATGGATTCATGGAAGATGTAATTAAGGACCTGCCAACCTTCTTGGTTGCTCATCCCAGCTGGTCCTCCTGGATGTGTAGCTCTTGTTTGCGTACCAGATGACGGCTATAATTAGATTAGTTTTTGCACAGATCCATCTTGTGCACCAATTGTGTCCTTTGCGGGATCAGGAAGTCCTACAGCTGTACTACTGCCATGTACTCTACACGGGTATGGCCTTGAAGACCACTCAGAAGCTGCATCGTGTGCAGAATGCATAGCCTGAGTGGTAATGGGTGCACCTCGCTTCACCCCAGCAGCATCTCCACCCCATAAACAAGTTGCCAGACAGCTTTTGGGTAAAATTCAAGGTGGTTCTTGTTACCAACAAAGTCCTTTATGGCTCAGGGCCTGGTTACCTGCATATCTCCAGGTACGTCTGGCCATCTTGCTAGATCCAGCCAAGCGCCTGGTTATTAAAACCGTGTCCTGTAGCGAAGAACTCTTGAGACAGGGCTGTTCTAGCGCTGGCTGTGTCAGTGGGGCAGAACCCCCCACCCAATATCTGCTCAACTCCACTCGGGTGTTGCCCAGGAATGCTCTTCAGGCTCCTGCAAAAGGCAATTCCAGATCCCACCCTGAGGAGGGGATTCTATTCCCTGGTTTTTGAGTTTGCTTCTCTAATATAGTAATATTTGTTTTCTGTTTACTATTTCCTACTTATTTTCCTGATTGAAATGTTGTCCATGGCTGAGAGTCACTTGAAGAGGCTTATAAAACGAACCAACAAGCAGACCAATCAATGAAACCCACCACAGGCAACAGAGGTAGCCAAAGAGAATGAGACCGACGACGATCACGCACAACCAGACAATGTGCACCCAGGATTTATTTTCCGAGCTGGGCTCAAAATCTGCAAAGGAAGGAAACGGTTACAAAAAGAGAAACGATGGAAATCAGCACCAACTCAGGACTGCCCAGGTGGCTGAGCTGGAGAGAATTTGGGCCAAGCATAAATATATGTTTCCACGAAGGAGGAGCAGGTGTAGGTGAGAAGCACTACCAGGTTTCTCTCCCTCCCTCCCTCCCACCCTCCCTCCCAACCAAGTTGCCATAGAACAATAGCTTTTTGAGTGGAGAAATTCTCCACATCGTCTTCTCCTTGGACCCACCCCATTAGAAAGGCAACTTCCACTCATATCTTGGACTCCAAAAAAGCAGATTTTGGTGAACTCAGAACAAATCCCACAGCAGGAGGGACTAATGGGGAAAGGACTTCAAGATCGGTGGAGGCTGCTGAGGAAGTGTATTAAAAGCAGAATTGCAAGCCATGAAGGAAAAATGGAGGACAATTTGAGAAAAGGTTGTTGAAAGCAAAGACAAACTAGAAGCCAAAAGAGAGATAGCTGTGGTCACTGCAGATCTGTGGTCAGGGAAGATGAAGCTCTGATTGAGCTGAGCTCAATGAACAATGCTCAGAACAACTGAAAAGGCTTGTTTGGATATTTTCAACACAAAAGGAAAAAGAAAGAAAATGGAAACCAGCAGTTTAGTGGCAGAGAGAAAATGGTAAAAGAATTTAAACGCTGCTTGATTTCTCTCTGGTTCAGTCTTCTCCAACAAGAATTGTGTATGTCTAGTACAGTGAAAAGAAGGACTGACGTGATAGCAATATTCCAGTACTTGAGGGGCTGCCACAAAGAGGAGGGGGGTCAACCTATTTTCCAAAACACACGAAGGCAGGACAAGAAACAATGGATGGAAACTAATCAAGGAGAGAAGCAGCCTAGAACTAAGGAGAAATTAACCAGTGGAACAGCTTGTCTTCAGAGGTTGTGGTACTCCATCACTGGAGGTTTTTAAGGAGAGACTGGCTAGCCTCTTGTCTGAAACGATATAAGGTTCCTGTTTTAGCAGTGGGTTGGACTAAAGACCTCCAAGGTCCTTTCCAATTCTGTTATTCTGTTAACAAAAATAATGGAATTATCATCTGGGAATTGTCAGTCCTTCCAGCAGCCCTTAACCTGTCCAAAGCAAAGATAACAGCACATCTTAGGTGAGATTAAAGTTTACAATAAATGGCAGATGGGAAAACCATGATTTCAAAACAAATAAAGCTTCAAAATCAAAAAGTGATGATAAAACAGAAGGAAAAGCTTCACTGGAAATACAAGTGGTTCTATTAAAAATAAGTTGGTCCTAAATGCTAAGGAATGGCTATTCCATAACCCAGCAGATTATGCTGCTCACAGGCATCAATAGATTAATAGATCAATAGTTTAATCATCAATAGACAATTAAAAACCAACATAATAACTTCAAGGGTGCCTGCAGACAATCTGATTGAATCCCTACAGCAACAGTCACACTGAATATATATATAGCTATAACATCTAATGGGAATGTGATCCTGATATGTAAGAAGAAATATAGAATATATAGATGGAGATTACATGAGATGCTGCTATAAGCAATCAAGCAATTAAGAACTGTAAAAAAGAGGTTGGTATGCAAAAAAGTATTCTTGAGAGGACAATTTATATTTCAGAATACTAAATTGAAGAAACAGAGAAAAGATTATAAAGATATAAGTAAAAGAACATGATTTAAAATACCATCTGAAAGAAAAAATATTTTAAAACAAATTAAATGTTTGCAATGCCAGTTTTTAAGCTGATAGATGAAGAAATAGAAACAAAAATGAATTTTGTTGAACAAAATTTTTTTGAATCAGCAAATATACCGTGGAAATGGCTAATATATAAACTGAGGAAAAAAGGATGGGGGAAATGATATTAAAATTACAAAAAGTTAATTAGATAGATAGATATAGAGATAGAGATTATATACAGTAGTTATAATGTATATATAAAGGAGCAAATTCTTTTCATTCATAAAGAAAGGCAAGTACCTATTATACCAAAAAATTATCAGTCAATTTCTTCACTGCACTAAAACTATAAAGTATTTACGATGGTCTTAGCTGAAAGAATGGAAGATGTTTTGAAGGATTTTGTACATGAAGATCAATGTGGCTTTTTGCCTAAAAGACAGATGAGGGGCAATATAAAATATTCTTTACATACGAGAATATAATCAATATATGCAACATAATCAAAAACAGGCCATGTTGATATTTTTTCCCTGTGGAAAAACATTTGCCAGTTTGAAATGGATTTTTTTGTTTAACATTTTTGGAAACAATGGATTTTGAAGATACTTTTATCAAATAAGTAAAACTGATACATCTCACAAACAACACAAATAGTCGACAATGGTAAATTGCCTTAACCTTGTGAGATACAAAAAGGAACAAGATGAGCTTTCACAGCTGTTGTTCAGTTTGGCTTTGGAAGTTCTTACGAGAGATATAATATAAGATGAAAGAATAAGTGCGGTGAAAGTAAAAAAGTAGTTACCTATATAAAATAAAAAGCATTTGCAGACTGTTTGGTTTTAATAGTTGAAAATTCCTTGGAGGGAATAGATATATTATTGGAAAAACTGAAAGAATTTGGTAAAATAGTTGGAATTAAACTTAATGAAGAAAAAATAAAAATCTTAGCCAAAAAAATGGAAAATCAAAATGAGCTGATAGGAAAGAGGCCCCAAAGGTGCTTTTCCAAAATCAAAATGAGCTGATAGGAAAGAGACCCCAAAGGTGCTTTTCCAATCACCTGGTTGTTAGCACTTGCACTGAGAGCCATTGAGGCCACTTGGAAGTTTATCTTCCGGAGGTCTCCTGAATGGTGCAAATGGAGCCTTCCTGGAACTGCCGTGTTGTAAGGGCCGCGGTCTTATAAAACAGTCCTTTCAGCACTTCCAAGAAGGCCCCACCTCCACTTCCACTCTGGAACAGGTGACGCTGAGGACACGGGGTGAGAAACCAAAGATTAAATATACAATTCTGCAGGATGCCAAAGGAAAAAAGAGGCTTAGAATGACCCAATCTTACATTATCCTTGCAGCCTATTGTTTGGTTTGGGTGAAGGATCTGTAAGTGAGTCTCTGGCCTGAGGAGGAAACAGATTTCACCAGGACCAGGTTTCTACCCAGGGACTAGGCCGGGGCCGCCTCAGAAGTGCAGGGGGCTCAGCGGGATGAGTTAAAAGGAGCAGGAAAGGGCTGATCTGAACGGCTGCCAAAGGAGCACCCATGTCAGTCCAGAAACACAGATGTTCTCCTTCAGAGCTCCCAGGCATTTGGAAGGAGTCGCATCCGTTGCGCAGCTGTTGCTTCCCAGGACCCCATGCACTTCTTGCACCAAGAGGAAGAAGATGGTGTGAAGGCTCGGGCAAGGACTGAAAGTTAGAGGGAGCAAGACTAGGAGTCTGGGGACACAGAACGAGGTGGATGGCCCTTGTCATGCCCCTGTCGGAGACTGAATCTGAGGAGGAAGACGAACAGCTGACAGGGAGTAGGAGTGTGGCTCTGTTGGCTGTGGAGAAACTGGAGAAGGGCAAAGTCCGGCTGGGCAGAACAGGGAAGAGGTAGAACAAGGGAGAGGGGGTTCAAAGGAAGACCCAGGCCCACCCCCTCCTAGGGCATGCAGGGAGGAACGGAGAAGAGAGCAACGTGGGTTGCATGGCTTATGGGGGCCCTGATTCCCTTCATTAGCTGCAGCTGGGAAGAGAGTTTAAAAGAGATGTATACTGAGTGCGGCAGCTGCTGGGAACAAACGTGAGTTTATATTGTGTTGACTTTGCTTATCTGCGTTCCTGCCATCCTCCCAACTGTGTTGAATTACTGCCGTTCCTTCACGTCTGGAATTCTTGCTCCTGCCCTGCAGAACTAATTACCTCATTTTGCCTTGATTGGACTATTGTTACAGTTTTTGTTGACCACGTTTTGGACTTGAGTCTCTGCAGCCAAAGGCTGTTCCTGGGAGAGTTTTTCTCCAGCAAGAAGATATCCAGGACATTTGGGACAAAGTTGGAGCTAATAAAGGAACTCCTACTGATTATCTGACTGTGTTGCCTTTGTGCCATGCCCCTTTGGGTCATCACAGCCCCACATCAGACAGTGGTTCAGTGGGTTCCTCTTCAGCCCATCATATTTCTTCATGTCTTGCCTGAGACAGGATATGAGTGGTTGCCACAATCTAAGGCTCCACTAGTTCCAGAATTTTACATGCAAACCCATTTCTGCATTCTTTTAAAGCGTTTCTTGTGAAATGAAGGAGACTTAGCATATCGTGAGATTTTTAAGTTCAGGATTCCATCCTCAGAACCTCATCAAGCTCTGCATTTCTTCAGGCGGGAAAAAAAGGCTTCCCTCCTTTAGCTTTGCAGGACTGGTGATCTCTATGTGGTCTCCTCTCCTTCCTTTGTCCCATCTCTTCTAATGGACAGCGCTTTAAGTCTTCACCAAAACACTCTCTTCCATTACTTGTGTGTTTCCAGTCTTGGCTGGCTACTCTTGCAGAGTGCAAATTCTGGTGCCAAAAGAACGATAAATTGGCTTTTAAAAAGTATTGCTTCCTTTAGCAAAATGTTGCTGTTTCTGTCTTATTACTAGCCTAAAATATCTAAAAGAGTAATTAATTAATTCTTCTTAGGCTATAATTCCTGTTTGTGATTATATACTGTAGACAAGATTGCATTTTTCACAATACAATTAAACCAATAGATTACCTCCAATCCCTTTCCCTGAAGGAATCTAATAAATTAAGGGGAAATTATTTCACTTGAATGGGGACAATCTAACACCACCCTCCAACAAGAAAAGTTGTTAATTAACCTTGGAAACATTCTTTGTTGAACAGGAATTATATACTGTAGAAAAATCCCCCCTTTAATCTTGCGCCCAGCTAATTGCAGTATTACAGCATCTACTTAAAAATATAAAGAACGCTTAGCTGAAACCATTTAGAGATCTTCCCCTCCTGAAGTGTTGATGATGGGTGCACAATTCAGAATAGTTGTGACCGGTAAACACTCAGGAAGTTCTTCCGTTTCCCACCAGACTGTTCCACGGTTGTTTTGCCCTGGGAACAGGAGAGGCAGCTTCCCCAGAGCCAAAGTGGCCTTGAGCCCACTCACCATTGAGCCACTGAGTAGTCGCACTCCACTCACTCCAGGTTTCTCCCCAGAGTTTCAACCCATAGCGCACACTCGCTTCGTAGGTGGAGTCTGACTGGAGCTTGTCTGCAAAGATCGTATGATGGGATGAGTCCTCTGGAACAATTAATTTCTGGGAAGAGAAAAACACATGTCAGTACGTGCGCACGCGCACACACACACACACACACACACACACACACGTGGAGCAGGTGAGGGAGATACCTTTGAGAGAAATAGGCAAGACCTGTTAGCCAAGAGGGCTGAAAAAATTCCTTAAGTCTTGGGAAGCAAGACAACCTTTGGAAGAAGCCGAGACAGACCCTCCTCCCTGATCCACTGGGATCCAAGAAGGAGGGGAGATCGAGCCCAGTCAGACCACAAGACTGTTGATCAAAGCTGGCTTTGTTCTCCTCTGGAATTGACCCCCTGGGCTGATCTGCCTTAGGGGGCTCCCACGCGATGCATAGCCTGAATCCTGAAGTGGCCCCTTTCTTTCTACTTCGGGGCCCTGGCTACGGGGGAAGAAGGGAAGACCCTGCTGGCTTCTAGGACCTGGCAGATAATGAAGTTTAAAGCGTGTGCTTTATTGTTTTGTACGTCTATTGTCACTTATGGATTTTTAACATTTTCTTAGCTTTTCAAAATGTTCTGAAATTTTCCCCCAGCCCTGCCTACATTTCTGCACGTGTTCATAATATGCTACTGAATAGCAGGGCAATCCGTAGGCATTTGAAGAACAATCTGACCACAGGAAACGTTTGTCTGAGGCACCCGACCTCGAAATGCCTGAGCCTGCTTTCTTTTCAAAGGACAGACTGGCTGAGGGTGCCGGGCTCTAATTTAGAAGCAGGTGAGCTCTCCTTCTCAGGTGCCACCAAAGAAGAAGAGATTTACCTGTAAGCTCCTGGCTAGCTCAGGGTTGAATTGACAGAAAGTCCAGCTATCCTCGTTTGAGGCTGAGGGAGCAACTATACCATCACGAGAGGATGTTCAGCTTCCAACCCATCAAATCTGCCTTCCTCACCCGTAGAAACGGGGAGCGGGGATGCCTTACCTTCCCTGTGTGGTTCTGGGGCCAATAGGCAACCTCGTACTTCGCTGCAGATGTATAGAGTGAGTTCGACACAGCGTAGTCCCTCTTCCAAGTAAGGATGAAAGTGCGGTCCTTCTTGTTCTTCTCGATCCTCAGGTGGACCAGGGGCCTGGGCTTCACTGTGGTGGGGAAGAAGTAGAGGCTGAGACGGGGAGAGGCGTCTGGGGAAGGAGAACCCCGCTGGCAGGGCACTGGCTGGGCAAGAAGCACAATTCAAAGCCTCCCTGTATCTTCTCTCTTTCTTCCACTTTAGGGACTTTCCGTCTCAGTGTTGGAGGAAGCCCCACCGTGGCTCCTGCCCATCCTGTCATTTACACCCCCAGGTTCCATTTCCCACCCACCCCCTCTGTTCAGCTGAGAACTCTCCAAGCAGAAAAGGAAGAAGGCTTGAGATATCAAGCGTTAGGATGTCACTACAGAATTCTTTGGGGCCTTTGTATGGGAAACAAACACCAGCGCCATTCTGGAAGCAGAGCCAAGAGACGAACTGATGCACCCAATCTTGCAAATGAATCCTCCCCACCTCCTTTTTCCTATCCAGCAACTCCTCCAGGCCAACAGATGCCCCTTTTGCCACCTGAAACCAAAGTTGCTGTGGCTTAGGATGGTCCCGGAGTGGAAAGAGATTTCTCACCAATTAAGTCCATATCCCAGGTCCGGTTGCTCCAGACCTTGGCACCGTTCTCTGTCCTGGCCAGCGATATGTTATACTCGAGTCCTTTGAATTTGTCCCCTGGAATCACGCAGACACACCTGGGGGCAGTGCCTGGGCCCTGCAGAGGGCACTCCTGTGGCTTCCTGGAAAAATGGCAAGAGAGAGCACACAACCCTTTGTCCATGTCTGCACAGCCAGAGATGGTCTGCAAAGCGCCAAATACCCTCGCATCCCCCAGGTTGCAGAGATGCCTCTGTCCACGAAGGGAGCAGCGGATCTTGCAGGCAGCAGCCCCTCATCCAGTCCACTACAAGGATCAGGCAACCGTCACGGATCTGCTCCCCTGAAGAAGTGAAGGGAGCCTCCTGGGCCTGCTAGAGGCAGCCCAGTCCCCTCCACAAGGGGTGTGGGAAGCACAGCCTGAGAGAGTCTACTTTCCCAGGTGGGGCAGCAGTGGTCAGCAACCTCTTAAGGTCTGCATTACCCAGGATGCCCTGGGAAAATTTCTTCTCAAGAAGGAAACAGTAGCAGCGTAACAGAGTTGGAAGTTGGAAGGGGCTCCCCCAGTCCCTCCTTACTAGTTTCAACAAGCTGAGTTGCTCTAATTGTATTTTTTTATTTTTTTATTTTTATATGTCAAACATGTATTAGCAATAGCAATAGCACTTAGACTTATATACCGCTTCATAGTGCTTTACAGCCCTCCCTAAGCGGTTTACAGAGCCAGCCTCTTGTCCCTAACAATCTGGGTCCTCATTTGACCCACCTTGGAAGGATGGAAGGCTGAGTCAACCTTGAACCTGGTGGGATTTGAACTGCCAAATTGTCGGCAGCTGGCTGCAGAAGTAGATTGCAATACTGCACTCTAACCACTGCGCCACAGAGGCTCCTATGTATTAGATAACATGTATAAGTATAAACATGATTATGAATACATGAAATTGATACAAATAAAAAAAGAAACAATAGGACAGGGATGGTAGGCACATTAGTGCGCTTATGCAGGCCCCCTACAGATCTTTTAGGAAAGGGGTGAGGTCAATAGTAGACAGTCTAAGGTTAAAGTTTTTGGGGTTTGGGGAAGAAACTACAGAGTCAGGTAGAGGATTCCAGACATTGACCACTCTGTTGCTGAAGTCGTATTTCCTGCAATCAAGTTTGGTGTGTTTTACCTTGAGTTTGTATCTATTATGTGCCCTTGTATTGTTATGATTGAAGCTGAAGTAGTCATTGATGGGTAAGACATCGCAGTAGATAATTTTATGTACTACGCTTAGGTCAGACCAGAGTCGTCGTCATTCTAGGTTGTCTAAGCCTAAAATTTCAAGTCTGGTGGCATAAGGTATTCTGTTGCGAGTAGAGGAGTGGAGAACTGTTCTTGTGAAATATTTCTGGACTTTCTCAACTGTATTAATATCAGATATGTAATGCGGGTTCCAGACTGATGAGCTGTATTCAAGTATTGGTCTAGCAAATGTTTTGTATGCTCTAGTTAGTAGTGTGATATTACCAGAGAAAAAGCTACGCAGGATTAGGTTAACAACTCTTAATGGCTTTTTGGCTATGTAGTTACAATGAGCTCTAGCACTTAGACCATTAGAGATGAGTACTCCAAGGTCCTTGACAGAGTTTGGATCATCAACAAGGTCTTGACTATTCAGCCTGTATTTTATTTTCTGATTTTTTTTGCCAATATGTAGGACAGAGCATTTATTTGTTGAGATTTGAGATTTTTGTGATTAGAGCCCATTCATGACTGCTGAACCAGACAGGTGCTGGTTGCCTTCTGACTACAAACCGCTTCGCCTATAAGAGATCTTGCAGAGCTTTCATTGCCCTGCGTTAACCATCCAGGTGTTTCCATTGGACCAACATGGAGATGCTGGGGAGCAGACTGTCTCCTCGGGGCTACCACAGTACCTTACCAGTCTACCCAAAAGTTAATTTGCCTCTGCCAAATAGGAGAGCCAAACATCTCACGAAGGAACTGAAATTTTGCCAGAAGAAACAAGACACAATATCGTAACATCAAGCAAGTTGGATGGACACAATTACAGCCATGTTGGGTGCACCACCAGAAAACCTGAAGAAGCAGGTCGGGGACAGATGATCTGCCACATCCTTTGAATGACTTGATACTCTCTTGAGGACATGTAAGCATCATTACAGGAGAGAGTGCTGGACAGTCATCCTGTCAGTGGCCCAAATCAATTCCCTGTGGCAGAGTGAGCACAGATGGAGGAAGTTGCACAGCTACTCCAAGGAGTTTGATTGACCGCTTGGTTCCCCAGTCCCTGCAACTAGAAGAGTCCCTGCTTTATAACTGACCCCACACCTCCTACCCTTGGACACTCAACACACAGCTTTGTGCCCCTCAACCACAACACACGGCTTTGCTAATACTTACTTTGCAAGAGTTGACTGGTAGAGTACTTTAAACTCTGCACTGCAGTTGGTGACGGCATCCACCTCCCAATGACAAACCAGTTCAGTGGCAAAATCGGTGTGGCACCTTGGCTGGACATTCTTTGAGGATGCAACTAGGAAAGTACAAAAGAAGAGGAGTTACTTGACGAAGCTGATACGTTCGGACAAATAGTCTGGCACAGCTTAAGGTGCAGAAAAGCGAAAGAATCCTAGGGAACATTTCTTGATTGGATCACATCGCTCCATGGCTGGGTTTCCTCGACCGAAGGAGCAGGGCCCTCCCTAGGCCTGCGTAACTTTCTTTGTTTGGATATAAGCAAAACATCAGCCTGGTTGTAGTCCAGTTCCTGGTTATAAATAGCACTTGTTATAAACATGAGGCTGTGATCTATGTTACTGCCCAGCTCTTCTCCCTAATTGCCCAGGATCGGAGCAGGGCTTTCTCTGACAATGGCATCTCCTGATTTTGGATGCAGACTTACTGTAGATGGGTCTGCTTATGCCACAGACGACTTATGCCACCACCACCCCTTTTTCTGTCATGGAAGTGGGGGAGCCTCCTCCTTCACCTCAGCCCAGAGAGCCGAAGTGACCCCTCCTCCTGCTTGTCAAATAGCCCGAGCCAAAAGGGTGGATGGTACCCACCCTCTCACATGGGGCAATATGTTATCATTATGAGAAAATAACTGTAACAGTAATTAATGCAGATACAAGAAGGTTTTGATGGATTGATGGTGAACTTATCTAGAAAACACTACCTAGTAAGTATGAATCTCTGGGTGGAAAGGCAACTGCAGGGACATATTGTTCCAAGAATATTGTTGCCAAATCTAGGAGTGCATTAATTGCTGAAAACAATCACAATTATCTATAGAAGAAAGAGTAGGAGTAGGAGGGGGAGGGGGAGGAGGAGAGGAAGAGGAAGAGGAAGAGGAAGAGGAGGAGGAGGAGGAGGAGGAGGAGGAGGAGGAGGAGGAGGAGGAGAAGAAGAAGAAGAAGAAGAAGAAGAAGAAGAAGAAGAAGAAGAAGAAGATGCTTTCCATGCCTTCATTCTACACAAATCAGGTCTAGGACGGGATTATTTATGGACTCATCTCATTCTATGTGGACTAATCCACAGAATTTATGATAGTGCAAGCCGCCCAGAGTCACTTGGTCGAGTTTGTGGCTAAAGAAATTGAATAACAAATTACCATATTGAAAGTTGCAAGCTGATCCAATTTAGCGGCAATACCTACTGAAAAGAGTTGCAACATCAACAGTAGCAATCTAAGCACACCTCTGATACATAACTAAGGATTCTCAACAGAAAAACCAGAAGGAAGACAATCTGGCAACAGCCACAGGCAAAGAGGGGCTCAGTTGCAGCCCTGCCCATCTAAAGGCTGCATCGCCTATGAAGTAAAAACCAGCCCCAGCATTCCAAGATTTTGCTTCTCTCGATGGCCACAGTTCCCCCAAATGGACCACAGGCTGTAGTGGCCCCCTCAGAAGATCATTCTCAACCCTTGAGACAAACCCATCACCACAAACAATTCAGCAACATCCCTATTCTGGCAAACACAGCCCCATTTTGTTTTCTTTTGGGACCTCACATCCATGCCCTAAAATCCTTGGAAAAGTGACAGCCTTATCAAAGACTTGAACCAGGCCAGCAGTTAATACCAGGTTAACTTCCCCTTTCGTGCTGCAGATAGTTTGAGTTTTGCATACTTCTTTACCAGCCCCACCAGGGAGGACAAAGGCCGAGGGCTGTCTTGCTTTAGTCAGGAGCTCACCTTCTGGAAGGCGCAGCCTCTGCCAGGGGTGTGAATCCTTTGTGGCTGGTTGCCTGCTGCTTGCTAATGATCACCTGCCTTTGTTTTCCAAAGGCGTATAAAAGCTACACTGCCCCCCTTCCCCTTTGTACTGTACAGAACAAACAGGTTGCAATTTTCTGCATTGTCCAATAATTGGCTACTTTGCACCAGGAAAAACAAACCTGGCATTTGGACAGGCCAGTCTGCGGTTTGCCTCTGAGACTGAATGTTTATACACTCTGACTGTAAAGTTTGGCTATAACTTAAGATCATGATGTGCCAAAAATGAACTTAAGCAGAAGCTCTGAAGAACAAAATCTAACTTTAATTGATCCACAAGGTTAGGGTAAGACCTTTCTTCGCATACACATAAGATAGATATGTGAGGATGGTTACAAAAGCATATAGAAATGTAAAGCCTTCTTATACTTTTAAGATTCTTTAGAAGTAGAGTAACTGCATTGTAAAACACTCTAACTTTCCTGCAAAAGACAAATGTCCTCTGGGACTGTTTATCTTTCATTATCCTCCTATTGTCCTGCTAATTGATCACAATGACCACTTAAGGAGGCTATTGACAACATACTTCAAAAGCTGTGTATTGCTCCAGATGTGGGGGGTAATATTCCATTCAGATTGATTTAGATGGGACAATCATGTGTCTCAATAGGCGAGGGGTGTAACTGATTGCAGGCATGTGTTATTACTTGTTTTGCAACACGTGAAAGATTAAAGAAATATTTTCTACAACAGCAAGATAAGAACTGCCTATAGAGTGATTAATACTTCTACATATATAAGAAAACAACTGCCTAACATCAAGATAAGACATGCCTATAGAGTAACTCTCTACTTAATGCTATATTTTACTACATTTCTTTATTTATTATCCTTCATGACAAATGTCTGTTTATTATTCCCCAGGTGTCTGGGTGGGTTTGGAACAAACCTTGGCAGAGATCACCTCACATACCGCAATGCGAGGCTGGAGCCTCCTGAACAAGTTTACACTAGAACATTGACTTTCCCCGAAGAATTCCAGCCCCTCTTCCTGCCGCTCAGCCTTTTAGGGAGCTGCACAGAAATGGTGCTTCTCAACCTTGGCAGTTTGAAGATGTGCAGATTTCAGCTTCCAGAATGACTCCTTGGACAAGGCGTGGGAGCTGACGTCCACACACCTCCAAGTTGCCAAGGTTGAGAAACAGGGTCCTAAACAGGAAGGTGTCTTTTCTGCTCTATGTACCAGAGGGCAGGGACCATTGCTGTCAATGTATCTGCACACTTAGCTCCCCCTTCTCAAATGGGGTCTCGCTTCTCTTAGAGCTTGAAGGAGCCTCTTGTGGCCCAGAGGGGACACCATGGCTCTTGAGATGGCTCTGACTGGTCGACACCCTTTCGTCATCTTGAACAAAGGTTTTTATTTATGTAGTTTTCGTATTTCTGAACCACCCATCTCTCTCAAAGAGGGTCTCTGGGTGGTATACAATAAAATGTTACAATACAGAACAGTGTATACGAAAGGTAAACACTGTAAGAGGAGGCAAGACTTTAAAGTTAGTCAAAAGGCAAGAGGGGGGCTTTTAGGGAATTTTAAGCAGCCCCACGGTTGCCAGCTCCCCCAGCCCCCCCTTGCAAGGCTGTAAAGCAGGGGCCTCCAAACTTGGCAATTTTAAGACTTGTGGACTTCAACTCCCAGAATTCCTCAGCTAGCTCCTCAGCCAGAATTCTGGGAGTTGAAGTATGCAAGTGTTAAAGTTGCCAAGTTTGGGGACCCCTGCTGTAGAGGCATGTCTTAACTCCTTTTCGGAAGGCCGGGAGACTGAGGGCCTGCCTCCTCTCGGGTGGGGGTGGGGGTTGGGGAAGAAGAATATTCCACAGATGAGGGCAACAACAGAGGCCAATGACGTTTCACTCCCATATTCGGACCTGAAACCCGTCTGAAAAGAGCCCAGGTCATCAGTTTGCTCCTCCAGCACCTTCTCGGTCACCTTCCCTAAAAAGAGAAGATGGGAGACTGGACAAACGTTGTCCAGAATGGTGGGGCCAGCAGTGGCCACTTAAGTAGGGAGCACACCAGCACCTCTTTAAAAGGAACTGGGAACACCCCATCCAACAAGGATGAATTCCCCATCACTTGGACCCATCCCCAGCGCCTTAAGCAGCCAGGAGCAGCATAGATCGAATGCGCAGGGGGTGGCAGTTTGCATTCCGAAGGATCCTGTCCCCTTCCTCAGCTCCAGCAGAATCAAACCCTTCCCAGATAACTGGATAAGCCTCCCAGGGCTTGTATCACACTTGGTGTTCAACTGAGAACTGAGTGATTTAATCTCCAGACGCCTGGAAAATTCCTCCGCACAGCCCTGTAGATAGATGTTTGGGTCACCCTTTCCGAGAAGAGTCCGCCTGACCCTAAACAAGGCCACTGGGTGGCATTCTGCAGATGCAACCAGAGCAAAGAGCTTGGCTGCTCTTACCACCACAAGTAACGGTGGCCTTAACTCACGTTTGGTCGAGTTCGTTCTTCCTTTTCCTCCATCTCTTGACCCTTTCCAGCTCCCTCAACTCCTCTGGGAACTGTATGGAGTGATGTGCCTAAGACTCCGTCTGACTCCCTATGCCTCAGCTGGGCCATGTAGAGGATGGGCAGCTATTTCTCTCAGCTCCCTCTGAAACCCAGCTGGGTCCATCAGTTGCTGGGGGTGGAGGAACCCAGAACCTGAACTCCTCTCTTTACCTAGGCAATATATTTATTTCACGCAGAAGCAGAAGGATCTATGCTGCCCCACCTGAAGGCATTGCACACATCCTGTTTGGCTGCAAACTGCATTCTGCAGAAAGGACCGTTTGCTCAGAGCTCTTTTAAAATCTAAAAGACATTGAGACACTTATTTCCTCTTATATTTCTTGCACCGGAGGGACCTGCCCAAGCAAGTCCGAGCGAAACAGTGCACCAAGTCAATGGGATGAGCCTGAGAGAGGGAAAGAGAGAGAAAGAAAAGAGAGAGAGAAAGAAAGAGAGAAGGAAGAAAAGAAAGAGAAAAGGGAAAGGAAAAGGGACAGATGAAGAAAGATGGGGGGATGGAAGGGAGGGAGAGAAAGAAAAAGAAATAAAGGAGGAGGGAGGGAGGGAGGAGAAAAATAATGAGATATCTATTCTAGTCTAATCACCTGCTCCAGCAGGGTTAGAAGGGAGGGAGTGTGTGTGTGTGTGTGTGTGTGTGTGTGTGTTTGTGTGTGTGTGTTCTCCTTGTAATTTACCAGTACATTTTGGTTTTGCCTTCTTCAGAATTGGCACTTTAAAACATTGGGGAAAAGTAATTTTTTAGGGTGGAGATCTGGTCCAATGGATCCTGTTTAAAGCCTCAACAAAATGTGAGAGCTTCCTGATAGACTTGACCATGGTTCGTCCACAAAACCTTTAATAGAAGCCAAAGAGGTTTCAATGTGGAAAAGGGCCTCAGTCTAAACTAGGCCTCATTTCAACCTGATGCATCAGCTCTCTCTCTCTCTCTCTCTCTCTCTCTCTCTCTCTCTCCCTCTCCCCCTCCCTCCCTCCCTCCCTCCCTCCGTCCATCCCAGACTGGCTTTGCTCTACTTTCCCAATGTGCCTGCGGGGCCAGCACTTTGAACATGGATGGATGGATAGAGAGAGAGACAGACAGAGAAAGACAGGTAGGTAGGTAGATAGCTAGGTAGGTAGATAGATATATTGGTAAATAGGTAGGTAGATAGGCAGGCAGGCAAGCAGGCAGGAAGACAGACAGACAGACCTTTTGGATGGATGTATTGATAGGCATGTAGATAGGTAGGTAGGCAGATATATATATTGGTAGATAGATAGGCAGGCAGGCAGGCAGGTAGGTAGGCAGGAAGGCAGACAGACAGACAGACCTTTTGGATGGATGGATGGACAGACAGACAGACAGACACAGAACACAACAGCGGCGACACTGGGAAAGTTCGTCACCGCATTCGAGGTACCGGCTCCGGAGCAGTGCAACAGTTAATGGGGTGAGCCTGCAGTGCTGGTGCCTCGAACACCCCTCTGCCGCCTTTTAGTGCCCCTCTGCCAGCCCACTCGGGGGTGCTAAGAGGCAGCAGGGGGGCATTCGAGGTGCCGGCACCGCAGGCTCACCCCATTGACTGTTGCACCGGAGAGGTGCAAGGGACTCAATGGGGTGAGCCTGCGGAGCCGGCGCATCGAATGCAGTGGCGGCACATTGCGAAAGTAGAGCAAAGCTGCCCGCCCTGGGCTTCCTCAACCCTGCCCTGCTCCAGGAAGAAGGGAACAGCACCGCCCTCTACGACGTGAGTGCCCCGAGAGGGGGGGCAGCTTGGGAGGCTGATCCCTGGCAGGAGGGGCACCCTGTGAACTTGCTGTCAGGCACGGCAAAGCCCCCCTTCCTCTGCCTCCCCCTAGGACAGGGGTCTGCAACCTTCAACACTCAAAGAGCCATTTGGACCTGTTTCCCACAGAAAACAAAACACCGGGAGCCCCAAGACATGGGTGGGCGTGGCAACTCAATGTCCCTCCCACTGAGTCACGTGACCCCCCTGGTTTTGTGGTTTTCTGTGTTTTCTCTGGGGAACAGGTTGCTCTCTCTCTCTCCTCCCTCCCTCTCCCATCTCTCTCTTTCTCCCTCTATCTCCCTCTCCATCCTTTCCTCCTCATCTCTTTCTCTCTCTCTCTCTCTCTCTCCCCGTGTCTGTGTCTCTCCTCACTCTCTCGGAAAGCCCTGCGTGCTCTCCTTGGGGCTCTTTGCTGTCCCCTTTTCTTTCTTCCTTTTGGAAATCTGGGCTGGCTGAAGAACGAGAGGAGGAGGAGAAGGGAAGCCTCCACCACGGCGTCTGCTCGTTCCTCAGCTAGCCGGATTTCCAAAAGGAAGGAAGAAAAAAGGATAGCGAAGATCTCCAAGTAGAGAATGCAGGACTTTCTGAGAGTGTGAGAAGCTTTTTTTCTTTCTTCTTGGCGAGTTTTTGGAAATCCAGGTTGGCTGAGGAATGAGTGCAAGTCGTGGCGGAGGCTTCCTCCCTCCCTCTCCCTCTCCTTCTCCTCTCGTGCGCACCCTCCAGGCCCCACCACAGCCGGCTCCATGGCTGTTCACTGTTCTTGCAGCACCTGTGCAGCACACTCAAATTTAGTGCACTTTACTACAATCCCTCCTCCTCCTCCTCCTCCTGGAGCCCATTACAATGCGGTGTATCGGAGCGGAGCGGTGCAACAGTCAATGGGGTGACCCTGCCGGGCCTCGAACGCCCCCCTGCTGCCTCTTAGCGCCCCCCTAAGGCATCCCACTGCCCCCCAGGGGGCGGTACCGCCCACTTTGGGAACCACTGTTTTAGAATAACATAGCTACTTTCACAATTACCAATTAAGATATAAATTCAGTTCTATTCTTGAAATGTTTGCAGTTTTGTTTTTAAAAAATCCAAATCTGATTCATCTTAGACTTGCTCCAGTTAACTGTGTTTCCCAAAAATAAGACCGGGTCTTATATTTTTTGGACCACCCAAAAAGGCACCAGGTCTTAATTTGGGGGGGCGGGTGGGGGGCGGCAGCTGCTCCTCCCACTTAGGGTGTCCATGGCCTCACTAGACAGCCGATCTGCGCCTCTTTCAGAGCCTGAAGGAAGGTCCTCCGCAAAACAGCTGATCTGTCTTCTCTAAACAGCATTTTCCTGCCGAACCTTCAGCGTTGCAATCCTGGGATATGCTGAAGGCTTGGGTGGGGGTGGGGGGGGGGAGTCTTATGATAGAAGGGAAGCGCAGCCTGTCCCTTTCAAGCAATCCAATGTCTGTGTGTGTGTGTGAGAGAGAGAGACAGAGGCAAGAGAGAAAGAGAAAGGGTGGTGAGGAAACCCTTTCAAAACAGCGTTTCCTGCAACTCTTGTTACTCCCCTCCGGTGTTTCTCTCTCTCTCACACACACCCCAAACAGACATTGGATTGCTTGAAAGGGACAGGCTGCGCTTCGCTTCTACTGTAAGCAAACACATCCCACAATCTGTCAGAATTGCCTGCCTTTTTGTCCTTTTCTCAAGCAGCAGCAGCCAGGTAGAGGTGGGGAACAGTTCCAGGCACACGGAGAGACACAACTCCTGGCTCTTGCTGGATCAGCGGGCTGGGTCACCTGGGTTAAAGGACCCAGGTGACAGGGAAGAGAAAGGCTGTCTCCTGGGCTGGCCATGGCCACCCACTTCATTAGTGCTTACTTTTGGGGTAGGGTTTATAATTAGGCCCAGCCCAAAATATCAGGGAGGGCTTACTTTTGGGGTAGGTCATATTTTGGGGAAACACGGTATTTCTACTAGCTTAGGAAGATTTGGAGAAACTAAATGAAACTTGTGGTATAGTATCCCTTTTTAATACAGGTGATCCTCATTTAGTAACTGCAGATGAGACTACTCTGTCACAGAGGCAGTCATAAAGCAAGCAGTCACATGACTGCAGTTTATGGGATCTAGCTGTAGTGATTAAACGAATGACTGGGCTGTTAGGCACAATGTCACATGACCGCCACCTGCAGCTTCCCACCAGCTTCCCCATTGACTTTGCTAGTCAAAGGCTGGCTGTGAAGGTTGCAAATGGTGGTCATGTAAACATGGCTGACAGCCAAGCACACAAATTGTGATCATGTGACTGTGGTGACAACGCAACAGAGGCAATGCCAAGAACTTGGGGAAAGTCTTATTTCAGGGCATGTCTGTTTGAACCGCTTGCTGAATGAGCAGTCAGAGAGCCCGGGCTGCCCATAGCAGTGGAAGGAAACGGAGGAAACCGGACTAACAAACTGGAATCTCTCGTCTTAGTAAACCAGGAAAGAATTGCTTTGAGCAACATGAAACTTCCATGCTCTTAAAACAAAGTTAGAATTTGGCTCTGTCCAACATATGAATGCTGTAGTAGAATGTTTCTATGGCATCTAGTGCCACTTTAAGCTGAGCATGTTCCTCCTGGCCCTGTTCTCACAATTCCCCATGGATCAAGACAAGGTGGAGATTGGCTGAAAGAATTATGACCTCGCACTAGAAGGAAAAGGAGACATCGCCCTTTGAAAGCTGTGGTTGTTTTGAGGAATCGCCCAGAGGAGGAAGACTTTTGAACAGTAGAGTCAACCTGTTCTTAGTTCTTCTTTGCCCCTTTCCTCCTTTTTTATTATCATGAGTGTAAAATCTGAAGTTAACCCTGTTGAATTAATGCTGGTCTGTTGTGGATTGTTTCGTTCAGCACTAAACTGACTTAAGGAGAACATCGAGGTCTCTTTAGGTGAGGCAGGTTTGGGAGCCAAGCCCAGAGGCGCGTTCAGAGCTTCGGCGCCGTTTCCGACCCCGCTCCTCGGCGAGGCTGACCCGGGGGAGGCGAGGGGCCGCGCCGCTCTGTTCTGCAAGAGGCGAGAGCCCGACCCTGCCCGGCCCGCCGCCGCCGCCGCCCGCGCCCCTCTCGCCCACCCGACGCCGGACTTACGGTGCCACAGGAGGCAGAGCAGCCCCGCCGCCGCGCTGCGCCACGAGCCCATCGACGCCCGACGCCCGGGACGCGCCGTCCGCCTGCCGCGGCTTCCCAGAAGCGGCCCCGCTGCCTCTTCCGCGAAAGCGCAGGGCGGGCCGCCACGCGGGCGGAGGCGGCGTCTGCTGGGACCGAGCCCTTCCGCGGAGGCCGAGGGAAGGGAGGGAGGGCAGGCCGGGACCCGCCTTCGCCCTTCCCCCCGGCTTGCGGGCATCCCTTCTGCCGCGCGCCGCTCCTGCCGTTCGGAGGCTGCTGGCCGCCCGGACGCTGCCCGCGTTCCCCAGCCGCCCTCGGTTGCCTTAACCGGCCCGCCTGCGCCCTTTGGCCCAAAGCGGAGGCCGTGCGGGTAGAAAGGGCCTTGGGCGGTCCGGGTCAAGGGGCCGCTGGGCTGGGATTCCGGCTGGCGGGTCTTGGGGGGGGGGGGGGGGGGGAGCCGGGCCCAATCCACGTGCCTTGAAAGCGCCAGCAATCTTTGTAGATGCTTTTCTGTTATTTCTCAGCAGTTGCCCCGGACGGGAGTAAAGACCCCCGAAATTCCCAGGCAGGAAACGACCGGTGACGACCCCCAGGGGGCTCCTCCACAGACCCTTGGGAACTCCCAGCTGCCTATAGAGGTTATTTCAATGTCCGTTTTAATGGTTTCATGTAACAGGTTATCTGTGATCATTTTCATATACTTAAAAAGTTAAAGTCACGTCCAACTCTGGTTTCTTACCTGAAGGAGCCAATGTTGTCCATGATCATGTCACCAGCATGACTATAATGCTTCCCACCAAAATAGCACCTGTTTATCTACTCACATTTGCATGCTTTCAAATTGCTCCATGGGGCAGCAGGAGGGGCACAAGTGCTCACCCCATCGTGCAACCCTTGGGTCTCCAACTGGCTATTGGCTTTCCAGCTGACAAGCTCAGCATCTTAAATTGCTGAGACATCCCACCCCATTGATATACTTAAAGTGGGCTAAAGTATGGTATACATTATTGTGGCTCATCACAATCATCCGTATGTTCTGTACACTGTGCATAATATGAAGCCACTGCTACCAGTTTTTTTAGCTGGTGTTGCTGTCAGATGCATTGTGTTCTTCCCAAGAACTCACAATATTTTAACCTGTTCATTTTTACCTACTTTATTTTCCTACCATTTTTTAATTTGCACATGATAATTTTTAGATATCATTTTGGCAACCGTGTAATAATAAAAAAAATGTTAATAATCAATTAGTGTCATCTTACATGAGTCGAATATATGATCCACTGTTTCTTCTGCTTCTTTGCATAATAAACACTTTGAATCCTTTGATGGTTTTTCAAGTTTATGTGTGTGTTAGATAGCCAGCATTTTTTGCCATAACCACAATATCAAGCTGGATTGAAGCTGATTTAAGGCACCAGCTAAAAGCCAAGAGGCACTGAGTTTCAATCTAGACCCATCTTAGGCACAAAGCCAGCTGAATCATCTCAGGCCAGTCGCTCTCACTCAGCCCTAGGAAGGATGCAAGGGTTAATCACTCCTAAAAAAGTTTGACAAGAAAACAGCAGGGAGCAATCCAGGCAATCACCAGAATAGTGACTTAAAGACACAAAACAAAACAATCCCTAACCAAAAAAGTGGCAGCTTGGGTTAAAAAACAACTAGAGCCATCAGCGACATACAACACGGATTTCACTAGCAGACTCCGTTCATACTTTGGAAGGTTTTGGGGGCCTTCAAGGACCCCCATGCCTGCTTCTAGAACAGGGGTCCTCAAACTTGGCAACTTGTGGACTTCAACTCCCAGAATTCTCCAGCCAAGTTTGGAGACCTCTGCTCTAGGGGGATGGAGTTCCAGAGGGCAGAGTTGCTTCCTCTGTCCAGAAGATGGTAACATAAAGGCCCCTTTGGAGAAGTGGTGAATACTAGTCCTGCATGAAGGTTGGCTGGGTGGCATTGGGCCAATCCCTCTCAGCCCAATTGCCTCACGGGATGATAGTTGGGGAGAAAACAGGAAGGAGCACTAGGTAGGTACAGCCAAGTGCAGAGGCATGGAATCGGAAGGGCCTGGCTCAACGGCAGCAACTGTTAGGTGTCCTAGCTGCTTAACTATGAGCCAGCAATGTTCTGCAATGGCCAGGAAAGCCAATGCCATCCTAGGCTGCATCAACAGAGGGATAGAAACAACTTCACATGAAGAGTTAGTACCCCTTTATAAGGCCTTGGTAAGGCCGCACTTGGAGTACTGCAGCCAGTTTTGGCCACCACGATACAAACAAGATGCTGAGACTCTGGAGAGCAGATGGGAGCAACAATGACTAGGGGGTGGATGCTAAATTGTATAATGAATGCTTGCAGGAATTGGTTATGTCTAGTTTATGGAAGAGAAAGATAAGTGGGGTGGCATAAGCAGAGGTGGTATTCAGCCGGTTCTGACCAGTTCTGGAAAACTGGAAGCGGAAATGTTGAGTCGTTCGGAGAACTGGCAAATCCCACCTCTGGCTGGTCCTACCCCCATCTCTTCTCTGCCTCCCACTGAGTCCCAGCTCATTGGCTGGCTGCTCTTTGGTTGCCCTGCACAGGAGAAGGGAACTGGAAAGCAGGTCAGTGGAGTGGGGAGGGAAGGGGGATTTTACAGTAACCTTCCCGTGCCACGCCCACCAAGCCACACCTACCAAGCCATGCCCACTGAAGTGATAGAAAAAAAAAGTTGAATCCCACCGCTGGGCATAAGGCTCCTGCCTTGAGCAGGAAGTTGGACTAGAAGACCTCTGAGGTCCCCTCCAACCCTAAGGTTCTATGTTCTGTTTGCTCACCGTCCTGAGTTGGATATAAAAAGGGCGAGGTGAACATACAATTGCAGTGGGGGCAGAAGGGCAAGACCCTCCACCGGTGCCCAGCCCAGCACGGGGCACGGCCGGAGGGGCCACCGATGCCAGTGGGGCTCCCAAACCTTCGAGCCGGCGCTTCCAGAGGCCTCCCGGAGCGGCCCTTTCCTTCGGCCCCTCCAAAGCTCTGGGGCCCCGCGCGGGCTCGGCCGCTTCATGCAGTCACGCCCGGGGTGGGGGGGGCTCTGCTTTCCGTGCCAGCCGACGGAACCTCTCCCCCCCCGGAACTAAAGGCGCCCGCCGGGGTTTCGGGCGAGCCGTCGGGTCAGCCGCGCCCCGCCGACCCCCCCGCCATGGCCCACACCGAGGCGCCGGTTTCGCCAGAAAACGGAAGGAAGGCGCCCGCGGGCGTTGGACAAGCGGCCCCTTGCAGGCCTCCGCCCGTCCGCCAGAGGGCGATCCGGAGACTGGAGGAGGAGGCGCGCTAACCAGGAGCCCCGCCCGGGGAAGGGCGCGCGCGGGAGCCCCGCCCCCTCCCGGAGCCCCGCCCCCTCCCTCCCGCCATGGCCGACGCGCTGACCGACGCGCACCGGCGCTTCCTGCAGGCGCTGCTGGCCCGCGGGGTGGTGGAGGCGGCCGAGGCGGAGCGGCTGCGCCGGCTGTGCTGCCAGCGGCACCCGGGTCAGTGGGCGCCGGAGGGCCGCTCGGGGGAGGCCGCGGGAGGGAAGGGCCGGCTGGGGCGGGCGGGCTGCCCGGAGAGGGCCCGGCGAGCGCTGGGGGGGGGTCTCTGCCGCCCCGCCCGGCCGGGGCTCCCCCGGAGGCTGTGGGGGGGGGCGCTCGAGGACTGCCTGACGCTCCCTCCCCCCTTGTGCCCCCCCTTCCGCAGCCCCCGGCGCCGGCGAGCAGCTGGACGACTTCCTGGCCGCCCTGAACGCGCAGCTGCAGCCGCTCTCCATGGAGATCCGGAAGGGCTCGGCGGAGGACAGCGGGGGGACCTACCTGGCCCTGGTGAGGAGGAGGAGGAGGCCCCCCTTCGGGAGAGGTGTTTAAAGCCCCCCCCCCCC